AAGAAAGAAAGAAAGAAAGAAAGAAAGAAAGAAGAGAAGAAAGAGAGAAAGAGAGAAAGAAAGAGAAAAAGAAAAAGAGAAAGGAGAGTTTGCCAAAAACAGCCCAGGGGTACATGGTTGTATTTTGTTCATGGATTTCTCATAGTGTTTTGCAGATTTCCGTGTCCTGCTTTTTGTTTACTTTTCCACGCCCTGGGCATATCGTTGCTTTTAGGCACCCGAGGGGCCCGGTCCTGTTTGGAGGTGGCAGAGACCTGTGTAGGGGACATGCTCTGTAATGCACAGTTGGCCCTGTACCTGAAAGCTTGCTCAACAAATGGAAATCCGTGCAACGTGAAACACTGCCAGGCGGCCATACGGTTCTTCTATCAAAATGCGCCTTTTAACATTGCCCAGATGTTGGCTCTGTGTGACTGTGCTCAGTCTGATATCCCTTGTCAGCAGTCCAGAGCAGCTCTTCACAGCAAGCCATGTGCGGTGAGCAGAGTTCCAGCCCCGACCTGCCTCGATGTAATTCACAGCTGCCAAAATGAGGAATTATGCAGGTGAGCAAAAACACGCATTTCTTACCTTATTTTGGCACCTTATTTGTTACAGCCCAGCCCTAACACTTGCTCTCATTACGTTAGCTAGCGTCCCCACCCTCGTCCACCCTGACGTAAACAAAGCCAGACAGTTCACAGTTTCAAATCCCTGGTACACGTGTAGCCTTTTTGAAATTCAAACGCAGAACATCAGTACATGTTTTTAGGATTAAAAAAAAAATTCAGTCTGTCGGGATTCGGTACTCATGAAATTGTATTATTAAAATCAACCATTCAAGTTAGACTAATAAATTTCTTAACAGACCTAGCTTGTACGCCCGTTTTGTTATTTGCTTTTTGGGGGGATCTGGTTCACTGAGGCTGTTAGACGTTATAGGATTTGGACAAAGTGACTCTTCCAATTTGAAAAGAAAGCATTTAAATCTTAGGCTGGAGATGAGGAAGGAGCGGGTCACTTGCGTACAGCTTGGACATCCCCAGCGCACGTGGTGTCAGGACTGCACCCTTCTCCTCTTCCCAGCCTCTCACCAGGCAGCGATGCTAGTCATTTGTTTGCTTATTCAAAAAATAATTACCAAGCACCTACTACGATGTTAGGCGTCATGGTACAAGACACAAAGATGCCTGCCCTGCGGAGCTAATGGTCTGGTAGCGATGAATATATAATAAATAAGGAAAATGTGTATTGTACTATAAGGTAATGAGTACTCTGGAGAACACACATGCGTAGAATGAGGGGGTTTGTAAATGAGCAGAAAGAGCTGCAACACAAATGGGGGTGGTCCCGTTAGGGAGCATTTTGCCAGAGTTGAAGAAGTGAGGAAATGAACCTGTCTTGGTAAAGACTGGAAAGAAGAGACACCAAATAAATGGAGGAGGAAACGTGTGGGGCATGTCCTCAAGCAGTGAGGGTGACACGTGCAAGGCGGAGAGCCAGGGGAGATGAGTTCTACTCTGAGAAAACGGAGAGAGACTGGGGCGGGGGGGATCTGAGCAGAGGTGTGAGTGATCTGCCCACGTTTTAAGACCTCCACCCTGGCTGCTAGCTGAGACTAGACTTCACCTTTGCAGGTAACTCCTCCCAGGAACCACAAAGGGAACCCAGTTCTCTGGCTTTCTCTTTTCCTCGCTATGGTCTTCATTAATGCGCTTCCTTATAGACACAGGGCGAGTCTGTGGTGTGGTAAGAAATCCACAGTGAAGTGGGGCTCCTGAGACCCCAGGAAGAAGAGGGAGGAGAAAATGAGACTACGGAACGCGCTTGATGAATCAAAACTATCTGTAACATGGGTGCTACCACGTTGGCGGTGCTTTACTTAAGAACCAGCCGTAATTGTACAATTCTTGGATCCATCTTCTGCTTCTTCTTGAGATAATTATCCCAAGATAATTCATATTAATTTGTTTGCCTAGTATCTTCCCGCAGGGACTATTTGATTTAATGGTGTTTAAGTGAATAAAACTCCACATGGAGCAAATTCATTTAAAGATCAAAATCAGCATTTAGTGTGAAGGAGGGGCTCAGCGGGATAGCTCAGGGCGAGATTTGTCCTATTTGACACCTGGCTTTACCGACAGGCGAATGAGAGTCAAAGAGGTCAACTTCCCATTGGGCTGGTTCTTGATAAACGGCTTTTCTTTGGTCTTTTAACTGTCTTCACTCCTAGAGGAGAATCATCCTAACTTGCAAAGCAGCTGCAGATCTTGTAAACATTTGTCAACAAAGAGAACGGCTTTCTTGTAACACACATTCTGTAAATAAAGGTTAAAGATCTCAGCAGGTTGCTAGAGCCTTGATTTTTTCTTTTTTCTTCTTCTTCTTTTTTTTTTTTTTTGCTTCAACATCTCCTATAGAATGCCAAAGTTCTTGAGAAAGTTTTATTAGAGGAACTTGTCATGCAAAGTTATTTTAGGTTTTACTACATTGTTTCTCTTGAGTGAATAATAAATCATCATTAAAATATTTTTTACAATGCAAGCTGAATTTTTCAAACTCATTTATGTCTCAAAAAATCTTTATTTAGTGAAATACTGCATTTCATTGATTCAGAGATGCAAATTTTTGCACATTTTAATATCCTTACCACATTTGGAATGAGTCTTAACCTCAATGACAAAAAAAAAAAACGTTAAATTAAGACAATAACTTGATTGCTAACGAGTGATTTTAGTTGTAATAAAATAATGGTATCTTGTACAATCAATGAAATGTGGTAAAAACGTTTGATTATACTATATTTCTCATATCACAAAGAGAATATTACTATTTATCATCTGTCTACACTAACTGTGAAATCAAACAACATTTTAACCAACCAGGGAACACTTTTTTTAAAAGTAATTCCTGTAAAAATGCTAGATTTCCCCAAGGATGAGCACCCAGCTTTTCTTGCCAGGGCCCCAGATAGTCCACCTCATTATCTTGAAGTTATCTGTACTCAACTTTCACGACATGATCTTATCTGAGCTTCCCTGGAAAATAAAATATTTTGATGGCAAACGAGGGGATCTGCTGGTCCAGCCCTTAGGAAGTCCCGTGTGGTCTCTGAAACACACGCTCTTGCATTAACCTTACCTCGGCATCAGCACTTTCTCAGACTGATGGGTAGAGAGTTGGTGATTTTCCTCGACAAGGACCCCTGGGTTCCACCACGTCTCCGAAGTGCTTGGTGCGGGCTCCGGAACACGATATGCACTCAGATGTCATCTCCTTCCCTCCACTTTCGAATATCTTCTACTCACTTAACTTTTATCATGTCCTGATATGCCTACACATGTCTCTTCTTATGTGATTTCTATCTTTCATATACTGGTTCGGGGAGTAAGGACAGTGTGTCTTCTGTTTCTTTCCACCATGTGCAAAGAGTCCCTTAATGACTCCTTTATAAAGGTGATGGAAATATTACACAACATTAGTTGTCAAGATGAAAAGATGAATGCTGTCATTTTTCTCAAGCAGATTTTGCCTGAGGGAGATTTCCAGTATTTAGATTACATTAGTGTTAATGCAATTCAGATGGGGAAAAAAAAAGTCTGCAAATGAAAAACCACTTCTTCGGTGAGAATGTTAAGCCTTTATCATTTAGGATCCCTGTAGAAGCCCCTGTATTTGGGGCAAAGCAGAACACTTGCATCTTAAAATACATCTCCCATCCCTGTACCAGATTCTTCAATTTGTGAGAGGTTTTGAGACTCCTCTGTTTATTTGAAAAGGCCAGAGAAGGTGCTAGAAAAGCCAGTTGCCATTTTAATTTTGTCCAATACAGGGAGGTGAGATTATGTCTTGCCAATTAGAAATGTTGAAGGGTTTACGGGAAATTACAAAACATTATATGTTCATATGTATGAACTCAAGAATGTAGTGAAAAGAAGTATTTGCTTAGAAGAAATCTTACATACTTTATAAAAGCAAACTTCATAATACACATGTTTATTTTAAGTGCTGGGGAATAATCACAAAGTTTAATTGTATATTAGGTCACAGAGGCAAATATAATATATTCTGTGTGCAGAAGTACACAGACCACATTCTCTTACATTTTATAATGGAACCAGAAATTTATAGCAAAACTAAAAACCAAATAATCAACTGTATTTAAAAAATTACTCTTTAAAGTACTTTATAATTCAAATAATAAACCAGAAGAAAAGGTTGCAGTATATCAAGAGAACAGGGATAATGAAATAGCTAGCCATCAAAACATTTCAAACATAAAACAACATTTCTATAATGCAAACTTTTCTGCCATATTTAATGTTTCACAAATAATTTAGGTAACTAATATACCAACATACTTTATATGTTAAAAAAAGTTAAAAAAAATAAAAGAACAGATAGATCATCAAAAAAATTAAATATTCTTCAGTTCATCATTTTTGTAAAATTTCACAACTAATTTTCTTTTTTAAACATTTTTTATTGATTTATAATCATTTTACAATGTTGTGTCAAATTCCAGTGTTCAGCACAATTTTTCAGTCATTCATGGACATATACACACTCATTGTCACATTTTTTTTCTCTGTGATTTATCATAACATTTTGTGTATATTTCCCTGTGCTATACAGTGTAATCTTGTTTATCTATTCTACAATTTTGATATCCTGTCTATCCCTTCCCACCCCCCGTCCCCTTGGCAACCACAAGTTTGTATTCTATGTATATGAGTCTATTTCTGTTTTGTATTTACACTTTGTTTTTTGTTTGTTTGTTTGTTTTTGTTTTTGTTTTTTAGATTCCACATATAAGCGATCTCATATGGTATTTTTCTTTCTCTTTCTGGCTTACTTCACTTAGAATGACATTCTCCAGGAGCATCCATGTTGCTGCAAATGGCATTATGTTGTCATTTTTATGGCTGAGTAGTATTCCATTGTATAAATATACCACCTCTTCTTTATCTAGTCATCTGTTCATGGACATTTAGGCTGTTTCCATGTTTTGGCTATTGTAAATAGTGCTGCTATGAACATTGGGGTGCAGGTGTCATCCTGAAGTAGGGTTCCTTCTGGATATATGCCCAGGAGTGGGATTCCTGGGTCATACATTAAGTCTATTCCTAGTCTTTTAAGGAATCTCCATACTGTTTTCCACCATGGCTGCACCAAACTGCATTCCCACCAGCAGTGTAGGA